GAACGCCACCCAGACGCTCACCGCGAGCGCCGCGGGACACCCCGCAATCAAGTTGCAGCCAGAGGACTGGCAGGCCATCAAGGACGCCGGCGGGGAGCAACCGCCCAGCGCGGCCAGCTCGCCCAGAAGGAAGTGACAGCTGGACAACACCCTGTACGTAGAGGTCGAGAAGACACTCGACGGACGACATCGGGAGACGAGGACGGGACACCAGCCCACGGCCAACAACACTACCAGGACCAGCGCGCTGATCGACACCATCAACAACTTCGTCACGAAGAAGGAGCTGGACGTTCCGAGACGTCTCCAGACTCGGCGACCGAAGGGGTCGCGGCTGCTTTCGGCCGTAGCCTCAGCCCTGGTCTGCTGCTCTACCGCAGCCCCGGCTCCGAACCTCACGCTGGCGACGCTGCCGCAGACGACCTGCCCCACGACGTGCGTGACCGAGCCCCTGCAAGACTGCATCGCCTATGGCGAGGCGACCTTCGAGGCCTACGACAACCAAGGGTTATGCTCGGACTGCGTCTTCGGCACGCCCGTGACCCTGAGCCACGGCCAGGACGCCATCGCCAATGGCTGCCTCGAACCCGAGGCCAACATCGTGGAGGAGGAGCAGCCGCGCGTGAGGGCGCTCAAGAAGGGGTTGAAGCCGCAGCTGATCGCTGGCAAGCGCTCAGTCTTCGTCACCAGCACGAATGGCACCCAGCCGCGCAAGATCGGCCAGGCCTTGCTTACTAAACTGGCCAAGTCTACAACCATATCCAACCCGACCTTCATCGCGAACAGCACCGTGCTCTAGGAGTGGCGCTGCAACCCCGACAGCAAGCTCAGCGACATCCCGAAGAGGAAAGGAAGAGCTGCTGCCAGGTGCGGTCTTCCAGGCTTCGACATCTCCAAGCAATTCGTGGTCCAGAAGCTGGAGGGCAGGATCCGGAAGCACCTTGCCGCAGGCAAGAAAGTGCGAATACCCAGCCGTGGACATCGCTACAACGACTCGTCGTCAAGATCGACCCGAGCAAGATCCCCAAGTTGAAAAGGGATCGGGCCACGTCCTAGCAGATGATCGGCCTGTTCCTGCAGTCAATGTCACGGCTGCGCGAGAAGTTCGGCGCCCAGCTCGCCGTCTCGTTCGAGCGGCCGAGGTGCTGCGATGCATGGGACCCCAAGAAGAACGATATTGCCAAGCAGCTGAAGGAGCAGCTCCCGCGCGTCGTGGACTTCGATGGCTGCGCGTTCAGCCTCATGACAAAGAATGGGATCCACATCAAGAAGCCGCGGCGGATCATCATCGACCATTTCGGGTTCGACGACTCGCTCAGGCGCTTCTGCAGCGGGGGGCGCCCGCGCGCAGGGGCCCGCGGAAAGGACGCGAAGCGCAGCGATAACTATACGACAGAGCTCGTGACGGTGCTAGTCGAGCAGCTGCTACGTCCGAACCGCCGGCCCGCACGAGAAGCTCAACCCACATCGACGACGAGGAGGGCAAGAAGAAGGGCGGTTCCAGCCGCCGCAGCGGCTCAGGAGCCAGCGCTCGCGGCTGCGGAGGAGCGGACACTACGGTCCGCCATCATGCAGCTCCACGTGAACACGGGGCACCCGTCCAACGAATCACTTGCCCGAGCCATTCGGGCGGCTGGTGGATCGCAGAGGTCCATCGGCATGGCCCTCAACCTCTACTGCGAGGTGTGTGCAGCACATCAGCGACCACTACCTCACCTACCACGACGGATCAGACTGGACAGGGACTTCAACGACTCCATCGGAGAGGACCTGTTCACCCTGGCCGACTACGCTGGCAACCAGCTGGTCTACCTCAACGTGGTCGACCTGGCCTCAGGTTTTACGATGCTGTCGCATCAAGGCGCCCATCGGTTGTCTTCGCTCGACTACTGCAGATTTGGGTTACGCCTTTTGGCGCGCCTCAGCGAGTTATCTTTGATGGAGGAGGCGAGTTCGAGCGAGAATTCTCCAAGGAGCTCGAGGCTTGAGGATATGGGTTGCCGCTTGATGACGACATCTGCGGCGACGCCGCAGCATAATGCTAACGTGGAACGACATGGAGGGATGTGGAAGGTGCACGCGAAGAAGCTGATCGACCAGTTCAGCATCAGATTCGACCAGCCCGCGGCCGCTCACAAAATCCAGTGGATGATCGCCTCCGTGTGCTGGGCCATGAACAGCCAGGTCAACTCCACGGGCTACTCGCCGTCGCAATGGGTGCTCGGGCGAGGCCTTCGCCTCCCGCATGTCTTGCTGGACAACGCCGGCAGGCTGCCCCTGCGCAAGCGCACCGTGTCCGACAAGCCGTTCTCGGAGAAGATCGCCATCGTGAAGGCCGCGCAGACCTCCATACAACACCTGAGGTTCAACCAGTCCCTCTCAAGGGCGCTGCTGGCCCGATCTCGGGCTGATGGAGCGCAGCGCGCCAGCGACGTCTACCAGACCGGCGATCAGGTGTACTACTGGAGGGGCAATGGCAAGCCCAAAAGAGAGTGGACCTTGCAAAGGCACGGGCCCGCCGCAAACAAAGGGTTCGAGGACGCGTCGAACGCATGGGTCAGCCACCGCTCCACGACCGTGAAAGTCAACCTGGGCACCTACGCCACGCCGCGGCCACGGAAGTCGTTCCGCGGGGACAAGTGCTGAACGCGCTGAACGGCAACCAGCCGCCTGGACCTCCGCCGGGCGCCCCGCCAGGGACCTCCGGGCCCGCGCCTCATCCAGGCCCTGGAGGAGGCGGCGGCGGCGCAGGAGGCGGACCCCCTTCCGCCCGATCCTGGCGAAGGAGGGGGCCCTGCTGGGCCACCGGACGCCGACGACGACGCGCCCCTTGATCAGACGGGGCCGACGCCGAAGAAGCGCCCCCGCAGTGACGGTCAGCCCCCCACACCACCAGCGCTACCAGCGCCCGATCAGCAGCCAGCCATCCAGCAGCACAATTTCGGCAACATCGAGCACTCCGAAGCGAGCCAGCGTGCCCATGAGTACGCCGAGTGGCTGGCGCGCCGCCAAGGAGAAGGCGATTTCGCAACCAGTGGAGGAGCCAGTGGCAGTGGGGGACCGGCCCCACCGCCTTCGGGAGGAGACGTGCAGCAGCCCCCGCCGCTGCCACCGCCAGCGGAGCCGCCGCCGCCACCAGCGGTCGCCGACCCGCCGGCGCCAGCCTCAGCCTCAGACTCAGGCCAGCCACTTCCGCCGCTGCTGCCGCAGATTTTCGACCTCCCGAACCTGCCCCTCACGGCCCGGTCGACGACGACATTGAACCCGATGGCTCGGACATGATTCGAGAATGGGCCAAGATTGCGGAGGAGCAGGCGCGCCAGCAGACGATGTCGCGGCGCCCGCCGGACACCGAGAACCAGCGCGGCACCAAGACGCAGCGCCAAGTTCAACAGGATAACGCACCAGTGGCACTGCAACGTGACCGCCAGCGCGAGCTCGAACCCCGCGAGCGCGCTGCCAAGCGCAAGGATCTCTTGGACGACCTGCCCAAGTGCTTCAAGAGGCCGAAGGACACGAACAAGGTCGACCTCTTCCTAGACAACTACTTCCAGAAACACGCGGACGAGCTCTACGCAAGTATACGACTCTGCGAGGCACTACTCACGGGCAACGCGACCGCCAAGGAGCTCAAGTACGACGCGCTAAGCGCCACCGAGAAGAAGAACATGGACGCCGCCATGAAGACCGAGTGGCCCAAGTGGACGGGGTTCGGCGCCTACAAGAAGCTCCCGCCCAAGGAACTGAAGGAACTCCTGCGGCGTAACCCTGGCATCCGCCCAGTGGGCGCACGCTGGGTGCTGACCAGCAAGGGCCAGAACACCATGAAGGCACGCTTGGTCGCGCAGGGTTGCCAGGAGGACAGGTCGCAGATCAGGGCGGGCGCGCCTGCGGGGTCCAGGGGCGCGCCGTGCCAGACCCTAGCTGCCGCGGCCCAGAAGGACTGGGGCATCTCGTCCTACGACGCTATGACGGCCCACCTGCTGTCGGGTAACATTGATAGGCTACTGCTCCTGCGCATGCCGGCCAAGAACCCGCCGCCGGGGACTCAGCCTGGCGAGATCGCGATGGCCACAAGCGCGATCTACGGGGCGCGCGACGCCGGGAGGCAGTGGTACATCTACGCGCAGGAGGTCTTCGCCGAGCACGGCCTCGTGGAGAGCGAGCTCGAGAAGAACCTCTACTACATTTACGACGAAGGTAAGCTCGCCGCGGTGGTCCACTCGCACGTGGACGATATCCTAATCACCCAGCGCAGCAACTCCAACAAGTGGAAGACCACTATCGCATCGCTGGGGAAGAAGCTACGCCTCAAGCCAGTCGAAAGGGTCATCAAGCACTGCGGACGCACGATTACCGAGCTTGACGACGAATTCCGCGTGACCCAGGCCACCGCTGCCGCGCGGGTGGACTACGTCGACTTGAAGGCCCAGCATGGCCGAAAGTGCTGAGGACCGGCTCACCGCCACCGAGGTGACGCGCTACCGCCACACGCTCGGGCAGCTGTTGTGGCTAGCAATGCAGACCCGCGTGGACATGGCCTGCCCGGTTAGCTCTGCAGCTCGACGCACCAACGTCGCTACCGTGGCCGACGCGAAGACGCTCAACAAGACAGTCGCATATGTTCAGATTTGGGCCAGTCAACTGACAAGCGGTTCCGCATCGTCGCCTCCATGAACAAGGAGGCCGTGCACCCCAACAGCGCGCTCAAGCTCAGCTGGATCCCGACCTGGGCCATGGAAGCGGACGCCTTGACGAAGTCGATGGAAGCGGGCGTCCTGCTGTCGTTCTTCGGGGCTCGCAAACACACCCATGGGGCCCGGCAGCCACACGCTGCCATGCTCGCATCAGTCCTGTTCACCTGCCTCGGCAAGGTCAAGGGACAGCCTGCGCCCACGCCGACTATGCCGGACTACAGCTTCTATATTTGCCTGCTGACGTTCACTCTGGTCCTCGGCATGACTATCGGTTTCGGCATCTTCATGACGCTCTGAACGATCCTGACGCAGAACAACGCGATCGCCAACGTGGAGAGCGCCGCCGAGGCGAAGGCCATGGGCGAGCACCCTGGCTGGGACGGCCGCATGCTCGGCAGACGCCGCAACATACCACCTACGATTCCAGAGGATCGAGATCACGATGGCGACATCACGATGTCCCATGCGAGCGTTTTCAGCAGCGCACAGGCATCGAGTTCAGAAGCATCTGCTACGATTCAGCAGCCGCCACCGCCGCAAGTACCGACAAAACCACCGCCTGCCATCGCACCGCCACCGCCAACACCATATACCGCAGCATCAGCACGGGGATCAGGACCGTCAAGATCAGCAAGGTCGCAAGGAAGTCCCACCAGCCCTTTGGGCGTGAGTGGTTTAGCGAGCTCTCTCTGTTCTCAACCCCCCAACCCCCCTTCTTCCCCTGCGGGGAGGGGTTTACCCCTCCCCCTACACCGGACTCACTTCTATAGCGCTCACTTCTATAGTGCTCACTTTGAAATTGTGGTCCGGAAGGGGCCGCACATGCAGGCACATGCCGCACAGTCGCATGCACATGCCCATGCAAATATACAAAAGCCTCAACAGCATTGCCGCACATGCGCGCACATGCCACACCGTCCGACGCACAGTCGAATGCACGGTCAAGCAAAACTCTGAAAGCATAGACGCACATGCCCGCACATGCCGCAGAGACCACCTGAGCTCGGGTTATTTCGCAACTCAGAGTTCCGAGGATGTCTCAGGCAAGCGTGGCCGGATCACCATGGGGCAGGGCATCTTGGAAACCAGAGTGGCGAGGATGTCGCTGGTCAAGGTGACCAGACGACCATGGGGCAGGACACCTCCGAGGTCTGAGTTGTGAGGATGTCTCAAGCGAAAGTGGCCTGACCACCATGGGGCAAGAGATCTCTGAGGTCAGAGTTGCGAGGATGTCTCTGGGGAGAGTGGTCTGACCACCTCAGCCCAGGGCATCTCGGAGCCCAGAGTTGCGAGGATGTCTCAGGCAGGACTGGCCTGACCACCTGCTCAGGGCATCTCAGAACCCAGAGTTGCGAGGGTCTCAGGCGAAAAAGGCCGAGACACTATGGAGCAGGGCATCATTGAGGTCAGAGTTGCGAGGATGTCTCAGGCAAAAGTGGCCTGAACAGCTCAACTCAGGGCATCTCGGGCGAGGATGTCTAAAGCGAAAGTGGTCTAACCACCTCAACTCAGGGCGTCTCGGAACCCAGAGTTGCGAGGATGTCTCAGGCGAAAGGGGCCGAGACACTATCGAGCAGGGCATCATTGAGATCAGGGTTGCGAAGATGTCTCAGGCGACAGTGGCTGACCACCTCAGCTCGGCGCATATCGGAATCGAGACTTGCGAGGATGTCTCAGGCGACCGTGGCCTGACCAGCATGGGGCAGGAGATCTCTGAGGTCAGAGTTGCGAGGATGTCTCATGCGAAAGTGGTCTAACCACCTCAGCTCAGGGCGTCTCGAAACCCAGAGTCCCGAGGATGTCTCAAGCGAAAGTGGCCGGGCCACCATGGGGCAGGGCATCTCCGAGACCAGAGTTGCGAGGATGTCTCAGGCGAAGGTGGCCAGATCACTTCATGTCAAAGCACGTCGGCCTCCAAATTGCCGACGACGTCTCACGCGGAACTGGCCAGACGCGAACGCGCCGGCGTCCGGAGACGAACGCCGGCCCCGGCATTCTTGCACGTCCCGCACATGCACTGCACAGGTACGCACAGTATTCGCACAGGCCGAGCTCGCCGGTGGCCGAGCCAGGCCAGCGATTCCGAGATTCCCTGAGCTCGGGCCGTCAAGCCACTTTCGCCTGAGACAGCCTCGCAACTCTCACCTCCTCCTCCTCCTCCTCCTCCTCCTCCTCCTCCTCCTTCTCCTCTGGCCGAGCCGAACAGGCAGGCTGGCCAGTGGCCGGGGGCGCCCGCCTCCTCCGCCCCCCCCTCCTCCCCCCCCCTCCACCTCCCCCCCCCCATCCCTGCTTCTCCGGCCGAGCTGAGAAGGCGCGCGGGAGAGTATTTTATTAGGCGGGCGCGCCACCGCCAGCTCACGAACCGGGCGAATAACCGCCCCCGCCAGCAGCGGGCGAGTCTAAACGCACAACAAACTCTTTCAGGAAACCCTGGCACGCCCCAGGTTAGCTCTGCGAAGGCCAGGAGGCATTGGAGGCACAGGGGTCCCAGACAGCTCCTAGGGCATGAGCGTGCATGTGCATTGGGATGTGCACGCATGTGCGCCCGCGCGCTTCACCGCATGTGCGTGCATGTGCGGGCCCGCGCGGCCTCCCGAAGAGAGGTTGCACAGGCATGTGCGTGCATGTGCCGATGACAGATCTGCGATTCTCGAACACCTCCCGCATGTGCAGGCATGTGCGCGCATGTGCGTCGGACTGTGCGTGCATGTGCGTATGATGGATACATCAAAACACAGCGCACATGCCCCCGCACATGCCCGGGCACGACGTGCACAGTAGGAAGTCCATCCAAGAAGGACCGCACAGGCCTGGCACATGACTGGCACATGCCGCGCACATGCGCGCACATGACAGCGCAAAAACGGCCGCACATACACCCACCCAGGGGTATAGATGTGAGTGCGGTGTACCCCCTCCCCCTGGGCCTGGAGAGGGAGTCCCGCGGGTGGTCAGGGGGGTCTTTTTCGACGCCTGGGAGGGCCAAAAAACGACTACCCTCACGAGGATTCTGGCTCCGACGGGGGGACCCTCTTGTAGCCCCCTCCTCTTCTGTGAAGCCAAAATCCTTGCTTTTACGATGGTAGTGGCCCCATTTTGGCCTCCCGAAGGGGGCCGCGCTCATCTTCCTTCATAGCAAAATCATTGTTTTTACTATGGTTTTGGGCTCATTTTGTCCTTCTCAGGGGGCAGCGCTTCTTTGCGCTTCTGAGGAGGTCGCAAGAGGCCCCAAGATGGCCCCCAGAGGCCCCCAGGAGCCTCCCAAGAGGCCTCCAAGAGGCCCCCAAGAGGCACCCAAGAGGCCCCAAGAGGCCCCCAAGAGGCCCCCAAGAGACCCCCAAGAGGCCCCCAGAGGCCCCAGGAGGCCCCCAAGAGGCCCCCAAGAGGCCCCCACGAGGCCCCCAAGAGGCCCCAAGAGGCTCCAAGAGGCCGCCAAGAGGCCCCACGAGGAGCCCGAACGACTCACACCAGGACGAGGGGCCCGAACGACTCATACCACGAAGAACCCGAACGACTCACGCCAGAAGGAGGACCCCGAACGACTCCTACCAGGACGAGGCGCGCGACCCATTCACACCACGAGGAGCCCGAGCGACTCACACCACGACGCGCGCCTCGAACGACTCACACCACGACGAGCCCGAACGAGTCACACCAGGAGGAGGGGCAGCGCCCAGACAAGCCCCCCAAGAGGGCCCCCAGAGGTCCACCATATGGCCCCAAGAGGTCCCCAGATGGGCCACAAGAGATCCCCAGGAGGCACCACGACGCCTGCAGGAGGTCCCACAGATACCCCCAAGAGGTCCCCAAGATGCGCCAAGAGGCGCCGAAGACGCCCCAAGAGGCCTCCGAGCAGCTTCCAAAAGACATCTACTACTACCCTTTCCCCTACGATTACTACTACTTGTACTTCTATTACTACTCAGACTCGTTGCACTACATACTGGAAATACCACTACTACTACTACCACTACCACTACCACTACGACGACGACGACGACGACGACGACGACGACGACGACGACGACGACGACGACGACGACGACGACGACGACGACGACGACGACTACGACTACTACTACTACTACTACTACTACTACTACTACTACTACTACTACTACTACTACTACTACTACTACTACTACTACTACTACTACTACTACTACTACTACTACTACTACTACTACTACTACTACTACTACTACTACTACTACTACTACTACTACTACTACTACTACTACTACTACTACTACTACTACTACTACTACTACTACTACTACTACTACTACTACTACTACTACTACTACTACTACTGTACTACTACTACTACTACTACTACTACTACTACTACTACTACTACTACTACTACTACTACTACTACTACTACTACTACTACTACTACTACTACTACTACTACTACTACTACTACTACTACTACTACTACTACTACTACTACTACTACTACTACTACTACTACTACTACTACTACTACTACTACTACTACTACTACTACTACTACTACTAGTACTACTACTAGTCGCTGAGATCGTCCTCTCCGCTGAGTCCCTCTTGCCTCCCACCGCTTTCTCTCCCTCCTCTTCCGCGTCGTCCTTCTCCCGCTGCCCCCACAAGGAGGATGTACAAGGAGGCGGGAAGAAGGAGGAACAGGGGAGATATGCGGGGCCAAGCGGACACACGCCTGAACAACACAACTGTCGGCACGCTTCGCAAGAGTTGCTGTTGTGAGATGGGCTGGTGGGGATACGCGAAGCGTAAAGAATTCGGCTCCCGCATTACCAGCCGTGGTTTCCGTGACGAATTCATCGAGTTCCGTTTCAGCCTCATCAGCCAGTGGTGTGTCGTGGAGCGGATCCTCCCCGACTGTGCAGCCGAACGACATGCTCAGTTGCGTGACTGGCATTCATCATGATGTGTCATCGGCCACAACCCGCATAGTGTATACATCACTTGCAAAACCTGCAAGAAGCACGCATCGCGGCTTCTCGGCATCATCATTTCGGAAATCCCGATTTCACGATCTTCCCGGAGAGTGTGATGAATGACCTCAAGGGCCGCTGGTGGAAGCTCACAGGCAGAAATGTTTGGCGGGGATCTGATTTAGCGGACAAACCAGCTTGGTCTGACGGCAGTTTGGCCGATCGGACTGGAAATGTTCTACCGCCCATACTATACGCTCGTTCAAGATTTATGGATTCCGCATCGTTGCCAACACTACGCCAGGTCAAAATTTACGTATTGCGATATCGCTGTTTCTACATCCAGGTAAAAAATCCACTCGTAACCCACCGTGTTTCGAGAACCTGCATCCGTTACAGTGCGCACAGTTTTTTGTTTGTGATGACGATCGTACCCGTTTAGTATCTTGAGAAGATGGCTGTATCTTTTGGGTTTTGTCGCATCGCGATCGAACCCTGGACATTGCTGAGTATACCTTGTATGCTATACAATGCAAGCCGTTTGCTTGCTTATCTCCGCGGTTTTTGCCGGCGAGTGACTTGTCTGCTATAGTCCCCGCTCTGACGCCCGAGACGGCGATCCGAGCATGTCCTAGGAGGAGTGTGAATCAAGCTCACTCCCTAGGAATGTAAGAGGCCCGGGAGGGTTTCCCCAGAAGCCTCGAGGGGCCTGCGGTTTTATTCCTTGCTCGCTGCTGCCATTTTTATTTCTCAGGGCCCTTGGCTTTAGTGCTACGCCAGTTGTTCGAGCCGCGCTCACAGCAAAAGCATTCCAGGCGCTGCGCGCCGATCCATACCACACCGGCTGGGTCCGCTTGCTCCCCGACTCCGCCGTGCCTCCGAGGAGCCCACCGCCCCCCAAAGAGCTGCGAGGCTTCAAATGGCCTGCTTGCTACCCGACTCCGCCGTGCCTCCCAGGAGCCCACAAAAGTGGCGACGGTTGAGCAGATACCAGCTACCTAGGGAGCTGCGAGGTCTTGGCTGTGCGGTTTACTCCCCGACTCCCTCGTGCCTCCCAAGCGCCCACCAAAGTTGCGACTATTGAAGAGTTAGCAACCACCCAGGTAGCTGCGAGGCTTCAAATGGTCTGTTTTACTCCCGGATCCGCCGTGCCCCCCAGGAGCCCACAGAAGTGGCGACGATTGCGCAATTCGCAGCTACCTAGGGAGCTGCGAGGTCTCGGCTGGGCCGTTTACGCCCAGACTCCGCCGTGCCTCCCAGGAGCCCACGAAAGTGGCGACAATCGCGCATTAGTAGCCGTGCAACGGAGCAACATTCCAGGGAGCTGCGAGGTATCAACTTGTCTTTTTGCTCCCCGACTCCGCCGTGCCCCCAAGGAGCCCACAAAGCTGGCTGCACTTGCGCAGTTCGCAGACACCCAAGGTGCTGCGAGGTGTCAAATGGTCTGTTCATTCCCCGACTCCGCGGTGCCTCCCAGGAGCCCACGACTGTGGCGACGGTTTGTAGAGCTCGCAGCCACCCAGGGAGCTGCGAAGTCTCAAATGGTAAGTTTACTACCCGACTCCGCCGTACCTCCCAATAGCTCGCGAATGTGGTGACAGTTGTGGGAGGAGTGGGGAAGGACAATGAGAGGAAGAAGAAGAAGGTGTGCGACCGCAGCGCTCTATTCAAAACGAGAACCCAACACAAGAACGCTGGGACATTACACGAGAGGTACCCAAGCCCTTCTCCACGCGAGGCGAACATTTGCCTGAACTCATACGGAAGAACACATCGCCAATATGCACGATCTGCGCTGCCCTCACCTCCGCCGTGCCTCCCACGAGCCTACGGCAGTGGCGACAATTGCGCACTTCGTAGCCTCCCCAAGAGCAGCGATGTCTCGGCTGGACCCGCGTGGCCGCGTGGCCCCGACTCCGCTGGACCTCACTTGCGCAATTCGACGCATTCCCATGAACAAAGAATAAGTAAGCCGTGCGTCCTGTGGGTGCGTGGGCACTGCAATGACTTGAAATTTATGCTGGTGCGCCAAACGCGTCCCGAATGCAGACCGCCAAACGGCTGCGTCGACCGCCAACGCATTCCAAGGAGCAGCGAGGTATCAAATGGGTGCGCGTGGCCCCCGACTCCGCTGGACCTGCCAGTTGCCCACAAAAGTGGCGCCAGTTGCACAGTTCGCAGCCCCCCGAGGAGCAGCGAGTTTCCAAATGAGTGCGCGTGGCCCTCGACTTCGCTGGACCTCCCAAGAGCCCACGAAAGTGGCGACAGTTGCACACTTCGCAACCACCCAAAAAACGACGAGGTCCTGGTTGGGTGCGCGTGGCCTCCGTTTCCGCTCGTTCACCCAGGAGCCCACGAAAGTGGCGACAGTTTCACACTTCGTTGCCACCCAGGGAGCTGCGAGGTCTCACATTGTCTGTGTACTCCCCGACTCCGCCATGCCTACCAGGAGCCCATGGCAGACGTAGAGTTCGCAACCACCAAAAAAGCTGCGAGGTCTCAAACGGTCCGTTAACTACCCGACTCCGCCGTGACTCCCAGGAGCCCTCGAAAGTGGTGACAGTTGCACAGCTCGCAGCCACCCAGGGAACAGCGGAGAAGGAGGCAGGAGGAGGCAGGAGGAAGAGCGGGGGTGAAGGAGAAGACGTGCGAGCAGTGCTCCTCACAAAACGAGAACGCAACGCAGGAGGGTTGGAAAAAAAGAATATTCTTCAATGGATCCCTTCCCTTCCTGGGGGGGGGCACCTAGTGGGGGCGCCGTGCGCTGCCCCAGGCCCGAGAGACCGCCAAAGTACCTAAGGGGTCTCCAGACAATTCGAGGGCCCGAGTGATCCAAGATACCTCTGGTCTGGGATAACCCCAATTGGGGCTGCCGACGCTCGAACCCATACTTATCCCTGACCACCCCCAACCCCGATGCTCCGGAATGGGTTGGACGCTAAGTCCGGGGCAACTCCGGAATGGCACCCCGAGGCGCGAACCAGACCCCCAACCACCCCAAGCCCTGATGATTCGGGGGTCTCGAGACAACGCATGCCATCCCAAAACGCGCACGATAACCTCCAAGATTTGCTCCTCGAAGGCCCAGCATAGGCATCAGACGGGACAATTCTCAGATCAAATGTTCAACGATCATTCAGCTTGAGCCTGCAGACGGCTGCTCGGGCTGAATCTAGTTTTTGTTCCCCAATTAGTGCTTACACTCAGGGGCTCTCGCTCATCTCGTAAGGAATACTGGGCCGCTGCGTCGGTTCAGCCGGCTTGTGGCCGCCCGTCACCGCCGCCCGTCCCTGCACCATTGTGGTTACGATTTTGACTGTGCTAGGCTTGCAACTGGGTCTGTGCGCTGGTCCGGCCTGCTTGTGGTTATTCGTGGTCGCCGTCCGTCGCCACATCATCTTGGTCACGATGTTGATTGTGCTAGACTCGCTCGTTGCATTGATTTGAGTTCATTCGAATTGCTGTGCAACGGTTTGTACTATATTGCATTGCTGAACAATTGGTTGCGCCGCATTGCATTTCTTCGCATTGCATTGATTTGCGCTGCTTCGCGTTACGCTACAATGCTTTGCACTGCTTTGCGTTAAAGTTGTTGGCATAGCATTGCGTTGCTGTGCAATGCAGCGCATTGCTTTGCATTGCATTGTATTGATCTGCATTGGATTGCAGTGCGTCGCATTGCTTGACATTTGTCTGCATTGATTTGTATTATTAATATGTATAGCTTGTTTTTGCTTTGCAATCGAATGTCAGTGTGTTGCATCACTTTGCATTGCGTCGTAGTGCTTTGCGCTGCTTTGTGTTTGTATACCTTGCTTTGTATTGCTGTGTTCTGCGTTGCATTGCTCTGCATTGCCTTTTTTTCCTTTGCACTACTGAAAACCAACCGAACCGACAGCGAAACCGATACCGACCAAAACCGACAGCCAGAACGTACCCTGTAATGGCGCAGCCGCGCAGCAACCCACCGAATCAAACCCACCGGATGCCACCAACTGCGACGCAGCCAAACCGACCGCACCGCGCACACGCTTGCTCTGTCTCATCTGGCCCCCCCCCCCGTTCGTCCGCCCACACCAGGCCAGGCCGGCCTCGATCAGGCCCGAGCTGCGGTCTTCCCCCCGCAAGTCCACCAGAAGGCACTGGTTCGCCGCCAGCAAGTCCTGCGGGCGAGGGCCGGGAGTCCCCTGGCGACCGTCTGCGGGGGCACGGGCAGGGGACAGAGGCCAGCATCACCATATCAACATCATCCCAGCACTGCAACACAATGGCAAGCAAATGCTGCAATGTTTCGCGATGTTCGGCCTCTGCGGGCCCTCGCTGGGCCCCGTGACAGTCAAGAAACTACCCAGGATGAAACACTGGTTCCAGGGAGCAGGTCGGGACTTCCGAGGACCCAACTTTGAAACAATCAATGAACCGGATCGCTGGGAGCATCGTCACCATCACCGCAGTCAAGGCCGAATTCGACACCTACATCACAATTTTACCTGTCGTCGTCATTTTCATCATCACCGTCTCCGTCACCATCGCCACCACCATGTGTGTGGGTACCTGCGCCAAGCCCCTCCAGATCAAGACGTGCTGGCTTTGCTGGGTGGATCCACCTGGAGGGCCGTTCAGCTCCCTTGCGCGCGTCGCGAACAGCAGGGCGCGGCGCTCGCACAAGGTGTGCACGTCAGATGCGGCTCGCAGAGCGAAACTGTCGAAATACATTTCGCGAAAGACATAGGCGCGAAATGCTCGTGTGTCAACGTCCGCAAATGCGAAGCAAACTCGAATAAAACGCGGCTGCAAACGCGCTCGGTCCAAATGTTGCTCATCCCCTTCCGTTATTCTCTACATCTTGCGTAGTCCTTTCACCAGACTGCCCATTTCCCCAAAGCGCTGGAATAGGTCACATGTGCTATCTGATCCATGTCAGGAAGAGCTGAAGTTAGATGATCAACATGTAAGTGGGAACACAATACAATTCATGCCATCGCGAAGTTAGAACGAACGGGCGGTGGTGTAAGGCGAACGAGCAGCGAATCAATGAAGTCTCTCGGTCGCAGACAAGAGGGGTATTGTAAACAATCCTGGCGCTCGGAAAAGAAGTCATGCGGAAAACCATGCCGGAATATTCTGACACTTGGGAGGGTTAAACGGCATCGGGACGAGTGAGGGATGATGAGGGCGACGACGCCGACGGGGAGGAGACAGGTTTCTGAAGTCCCAATTCCAGTCAGGAAGAAGAGAAGCAGGAGTGATGCGGAATCCCTGGCACTTGGAGAAGTCAGGTGGAAAAGCCTGACACTCGCAAGTGGCCATGCAAGACACCCTGATGCAATCGGCGTAATCACAACAAGAACTCTCATGTTCGCAAGGATCACGAATATTCCGACACTCGTGCGGGTTGAAAGTCAGCGAGAACGCTGAAGATGGTGAGGGTGACGACAAGAAGCGGACGAAGAGAAAACAACGTCTGAACTGTAGGTCCCATTCCGGAAGAAGAGTGAGTTACAGGGAAAGTTCTGACAATCGAAGGGGCCACACGAAAAAAAACCTGACGAACAATGGGGTCACTGCAACAATTATGACGCCCAGCTTGGAAGGTAGCGAGAGAAGAGAAAATGCCGAGCACGACTACCAATGCACGAACAGGGAAGAGCCAGAACGCTGAAGTAGCGGTTCCAATCAGGAAACATTGTGGGTCATAGAGGAAACCCTCACACTCGGAGAGATCACGCGGGAAACCCGGACACTCGGAGTAATCCTGCGAGAAATTGACACCTGGAGGGTGTCATGCAGAAACCCTTGACAGTCGGAGGGGGTCATGAGGAAACCCCTGACAGTCGGAGGGTCATGCGTATAACCCTAACAGTCGGAGGGCTCATGCGAGAATCATCTATAACCAGCATGCTTGCTTACCTGCCATCCAATTTGCCAATCAACCAACCAACCCAACCATGGAGGAAATCGGAAGGGGTGGTCGGCCGCTTGCGGTGAAGCCTTGAGATAAACCATGCCAGTCCAACGCGCAATGGCTTGGCCGTAGTAAGGATGATGTCTCGAGAAGCATCCCAACACACAAGTACCTTGCCTTTGCCGCCTGTCGTCGGCAGACCCAGCACTCGGAACAATCGCTGAAATGCTAGATGCAACAAGACGATGGCGAAGGCAGATTCTTGACGTGCTGGCGCGGCTCAACCAGGACTCCCAAGCCTGGGTCAGCCAGAAGGAATTGTTGAAGCGCTGACTCCAGTTACGTGCGTCCCAATAGGCATGACTCTCTACGCATCTGGGTCACGGATATGAGAGATAGCGACGTCTGGCGTCGGGATGCTGAACAAGAGACGGGGTACTTCGGGGAGCACGGAGAGCAGGAATCAGTTGGAAGCGGGCGAAAAAGAATTGGGGCGGAGGCGGGCAACTGACATGCGAGGTTCTCGGGCTGATCCCCGCTGATCGTTTGGCGCAAGGTCTGCACAGTGCGGGGAAATCCGTGGAAGGCCAGGGGAGACCTGCGCACTCTGGGGAAGTTCGGGAAAAGCAGTGAGAAATCCAATGAAAATCTGGATAAATTCAAGGAAGAAGTCTGGGGAAATCCACGGTAGGAAATGAAGACCTTGCGCCAACTGATCCGTCATGACCCTTTCACCACTCTCTGGGAGATTCCAATTGTGTGCCGCTGGGGGGGGCCGGTCCCCGACGGTCTCGGGGTCGATGTGCTCGACGCCTGCATGTCGGGTTGAAGGCAAAGTGCGATGGTGTTGCACCTTCAGCGATCTCGTTACCGCCATTCCAAAGCATGCACGCTGTCGCGTAGAATTTGGCTGAAGAGCGCTCCGGCAGGAACGCGAAACGTCGCTTGCACCAAAAACCTTGGACGTCCGAAACGGGTACGGAAAAAGTGGGTACGATGCCAAACGACAAGAATTGCCCAAAACCGACAGCGGCCGCTGTTGAGCAGGCGGCCTTCTGTCTCACATTGACCACGTCCACAGCGACGCCGACAGCGACCCCAATTCAAAATTCGCCGGCCCAACGGGCCAGAGGCGTGCTAAGATCTCCGGTGACTGCTTTACAATCTTTCTACTTCGCGCGCTCGGGGCGGCCCCTGGGGGGCCCCGGGCGGAAAGTACCCCGGCAAGGTCCCGAGAGAGTCCCGGGAGGAGTCACCAGGGCGCTCCAGCAGCGCACCAACGCGGCTCCGAGACGTCCCCGAGAGCCCCAAGAAGGGCCAAGAGGCTTCCAAGAGGCCCCCAAGATGCTACATGAGGGGTCCGAGATGCCACAAGATCGCTCCAAGACGCCCACGATGGCCCCCAGACGCCCCAAGAGGCCTCCAAGAGCACTCCCGAGAGGGCCCCAAGAGGCAAAATTCACTGCTTTTCCTTAGGTTTTGGAGAGATTTTGGCGTTTCCACCTTTTCGGCTTCACGACACCCCAAGACGGCCCAAGAGGCCCCCAAGACCGCCCCAAGAGGGCCCAAGAGGCCCCCAAGAGGGCCCCAAGACGGCCCAAGAGGGCTCCAAGACGGCCCAAGAGGCCTCCAAGACGGCCCAAGAGGGCCCCAAGAACGCCCCAAGAGGGACCCCAGGGGGGGAACACGAAACAATATTTCGAGCCCTCGGCCCTCAGAAGTCCCCAGGAGGCCCCAAGAGGCCCCTAAGAGGCCCCAAGAGGCCCCCAACAGGCCCTCAGGAGGCCCCCAAGAGGCCCCCAAGCGGCCCCAGGAGGCCACCCAAATGCCCCCCCGAGCACGCAAGCAAGTGCCAGCGACGCTACACTATGGGCCGGCGGAATGAGCGAAGCGATTCAATAAACAGGAGCAGCCGTCGGTCTCCGTACCCATTCGATCGTAACGAAAAACTGGTGCAACTCTCCCTCTACGTATACAGGGCACCGCCGGAGCTGGGCCCAGAGGGCTTCAACGCTGCGCTCCCTTCTGGACCTGGCGGTGCTGGCGCTGCCTGGGCTTGGCGGCGCGCTCCGAAGTGAGACAGAGTGCCGTGCACCACACGTCGGGGGTTACTAAAGGTTTCCCTGGCCCAAGGTGCCCCCAGCTCTTCGCTCAATTTTGAAGCCCCCGGCGCCCTCTGGGCCTTGTGAGGGGTGCTCAGAACTTGGAGACGTCTTGGGGTCTGAGGTGGCCCAGCTTCGGATCTGGCCAGCAGGACGGGGTAGCAAGTTGCAAGATCGAACTTTTGGGTTCGGAGCGGATCAGTCGTTTTTTGCGCATCGGGGTGCTGTTTTTGAGCCCCTGGACGGCGACAAAAAAATCCAAGATGAAACACTGCACCAGATGGACCCCGGGAGGGGTCCAAGGACCGACTTTGAGCCGATTTGGTCACATCTCCCCTCTTGACCGATTTTCTGAGGTCCGACAGAACGCGTTTCACGGGACATTCGGCGGCGCGTGTCGGACCGGGGGGTGGGCCGCCCCCCCCCCCAACATTAGGCGCCGTCAATCAAAACCGGGGGGTCTCCCCTCCCCCCCAACCCCCCCCCCTTCGCGAACCCCCCCCCGCCCTCCCTCCCAGGGGGCGGGGTGTTCAAACCCTCGCGCCGGCGCTGGCGCTGGCGCCGGCCAACAGCGCCGGCGACGGCGGGGACGCAGCGACGATTTCCACCAATACAACCACCACCACCACCACTACCACCACCACCACCGCCTCAACCCACCACCACCACCACCACCAACAGCACCACAGAACCACCACCACCACCACCACAGCCACCACCACCACCACAACCACCACCACAACTCACCACCTATACTCACCACCACCACCACCACCACAAAAGCCCACCACCACTACCACTACCACCACCACAATCTACAACACCACCATCACCACCACCGCCACAACCACTACCAGCAGCACAACCCACCGCCACCACCACAAACCACCACACCACCACCACCACCGCCACCGCCACCACCACCACCTTCACAACAACAAACGTGCACAAACCACTGCCACCACCACAACCCACCACCACCACCACAACCCACCACCACAGCACCACAACCACCACCACCACCACAACTGACCATCACCACCACCACCACCACCACAAGAACCCACCACCATTACCACCACCACAATCTACCACACCACCACCACAACCGCCACAACCACCACTACTACCAGCAGCACAACCCACCACCACCACAAACCACCACACCACCACCACCACCACCACCACCATCGCCACCACCACCACCAGCAACGCCCCCACAAACCACCGCCACCACCACAAATCACCACCACACCACCACCAAACCACCACCACCACAAACCACCACCACCACGACCACCACAAACCACCACAAACCACCACCACCAAACCACTACCACCACCCACCGCCACAACCACCACCACCACAACAAACCACCACACCACCACGACAACCACCACCGCTACCACCACCACCACCACCACAACCCACCACCACCACCACCACCACCACCACCACCACCACCGTCGTCCTCGTCGACGCTCCCCGCCACCGCCGCCCGCCGCCGCAGGCGCCGGCCAGCGCCGGCCCAGGAATGGAAATCGTCCTCCCCGCCGCCGCCGCCAGCCGCCTTCGACGCAAGCGCCGGCCCGAGGAGAGGGGAAGCAAAAAAGGGGGGGGGTTGAACCCCCCCCCCGCCCGTCACGGGAAACGGGGAAAGGGGGGGGGCGGGGGTTTGAACCCCCCCCCTTCCGTCACGGGGGGGGGGGTCCAGTTCCAACCCCCCCCCTCCAAGGGACCACAGAACGCGCTCATTCTGAGGTCCCAACAAGAAAATTCAGACCCCATGGCCGCCTCCAAGGCAGAACAAGACGGGCCTATGGTCAATGGTCAACAGTCTTGCCACACAAGGCTCGTCGGCGACGGCCCAACAAGCTGGCGCCGTCGCGCACTGCTGTACACTCCAACGATCCGTCAAGGTGAAGTCAGATTGGCCAATCCAACAAATGGCCTATGGGGAGGAAGGGAAACCGCCTGACCCAGCAGGGCGCCGATTCGTGACTAGCTGAGAAATGTGGCAGCGTGAGGCACGTGCACTACTCTGCGGTTGCTGCGGCGTGGCAGACGGTGGTCGTCATACGCTTGTTTTAATGCGTGGCCAGCAGCAGCAACAGCAGAGATCAGGAAGCAACCAGCAGATAGAACGATGGGCCCGACACCTGCGAGAAACACTGGCGGATGCAGATAAGAGCTGGTGGGGTGTATGGGTTGCCGATGGTCAAGACTTCAAACTCACGTATTATTAGGATGGAACTACGGTCGTCCACACAGACCACGCGCGCGCCATTTGCCATCGCGCTCAAACTGGCAAGCTTCATCACCGCGCAGAGATGCACATGTTCAGGCCATTTGCCCGCGCACGGAGGAGGTGGACGAGGAAGGATAAGGCATTCCTGTATATAGTGATGAAGAGCAGGAGGCTCACTAACCTTGAAGGAGGTCAATGACGAGAGAAGGGGGACACTGGAGGGGCGATAGAACGAGAACTTGTTGTTCCCGGGCAGGGTTGACGAACCCTGCCAGAACCCACCGACAAGGACCGACAAGGTGCCCCCCCAATACTATCAGCCTTCAGCCAGATCAAGCTCCGCTCCTTGGGCCATGCCCCTGACTTGGGCTTCGGCTTTCGCAGTGAGTGCTTGTCTGCCCAGGTCCTCTGCTTCCGCCCAGAGGGAGAAGCCGAACGCAAGAATATTGGAGCTTCCCAGGCCTGCGAGTTACGGGATGCTTCGAGAAAAGAAGCCCCCCTCCCCGGGCCCCCGGGTGCCACCCAAACGCGCCTCGAGAGCACTTGCCGAGTGGCCCCTGGACGGGGGAGCACAGAGCCCAAGCCCCACGAGAGGAATCAGCATCGGATGACTGTGGGCCTGCGACGTTTTTGGCAAACCGCTTGTCAGGCACCGCCCGCTCGACCAAGCAGTACTGCTTGACTCTCTGGGGCTGGACGCCCTGCTCGATCGACCCTGCGTCGCTGAGGCCCATCCCTAGACGTGTTCCAATTTCCCCCAGAGAGCGCCAACACTAAATGAAAAACATCGAAAAAGCAGCGCACGGCGTGGAGATCATCCACCAAATACTCCCTCCATGCCGCGCTCGAAAGCCCGCTGCTGCGAGCACTGGAATGTGAGGCGCTTCGCGGCCTGGCCCACAACATGGAGCGCCAGGGCAGCGCGCGGCGTAGCCCAACACTGAAACTGCGATACAAGAGCAGCGCACAGCACCATCACCCAATACACCGCACCGGCACACAATACAGCACAGGCGCAGCAGTGCACAGCATTGCGCGCAAGGGCCTCAGCCGACGGGCTGGACCGTACTCCCGCATGCAAATTCGTCGCGATGGTCATCGCAAGGCATGGCCAGCCTAGAAGAGCGGTTGGGAAGGGGGCCCATTCCAAATTGCCCGTTCCCGAGAAAGTCGGATGCTCGGGGAACGGGCAACGTGCCAAGCAAGGGACGCGCTACAAAACATGCCACAAAGACTTGTCACTACAAACGAACCGCGCGCCACAAAAATTGCCATGACAATTCAAAACAAAAAATCGGCCACCGAAACTGTCACGAAAATGCTCCGCAACAGTTTTTTTGGAGGGAGAAGATGAGAGCGGACCATATGCCCAAAGCTGACGCCAATCTCTCCGCTAGCAGCTGTGGCGGACAAACTGAGCCGCAAAACTGCGCCACGCATGTTGCGACAACACTTTGTCCAC